TGGCCAGAGCTGTTGCCCATTTCAAGACCAGGGAAATGTAGTTTAGTAAAGGACCATCCTTTGTCAGGAGCATGGAAAAAATTTTATGTCATATGTTAGTACCTATTATGAATAGGCTGAATACTGTGGATTTGCTGATTTTAAAAAGGATGAACACATTACAGGCAGCTTGGTATTTGGAATTCTGCACAAAGGGCTTTATAAAAGAATGAAATTAGTAGAGAATGTAGCCCTTCACAAAGCCATAGAGATGGCTAGGCACACTTAGCTGATCCAAATCCAGAGCAAAGAGCAAGGGCAATTTGGGAGAAGCTTGAAAGAGGGAACCCTTCCTCCACAAAAGTTGCAGCAGCCATTTTGAATAGGGCAATTTAACTCCTCATGTCTGCAAAAAAAAGTCCAGAAACAAGCAAGCTAGACTTTCTAAAAGCCCCTGCAGCAAAAAGGCTCATCCTTTCAGACAGCATGAACAAGGAGTGGAAAGACAGGGTCTGCAATATTAGAGTGGTTTGCCCAGATAAAGGAACAAAACCCAGGAAATGCTGTGGGGGCAACAACAACATCATCGTCAACAACAACAAATCTTGATCTCATGTGCCGTGTGTTCCCAGATGAAGCAAGAAGTGACCACAGAGAGAATTCTTCTCTTAGGTTTTATATTTTAGGAAGACACTGACCCTCTCTGGAGAATAAATGTAATTATTGGTGGAACAGCCATTAATTTCAGAATAGGTTTAGGGGTCGATGCCACAGCTCAGAAGAGAATTACACAGAATTCCAGAACCCCAAGACTGCATAATGCAAAAGCCAATGGATACAGCCCTGGGCTGCCTTGGATGCGTTACCAAACCCACCAGCTGCAAAGGCAACTAGTTGATGTTTACCGTGTGCAGCATAAGCCAGATAATCTCAGCTGTGCAGTAGCTGCCAGGATGGGATTTCTGAAAACAATGGAAGAAATAGAAGTGATTGGAGATATTGGCCCATGAGAAGTATATCCTCTGGACATGGTTTTAAGACCTGCTGCCAAACCATAAAGCAGTCTTCCCCAACCTGGTGCCCTCCAGATTCTTTTGACAACTCCCACTGTTTCAGATCTTTAGTCAAAATGGCTAGGAATGCTAGAAATCTGGTGGGCACCAGGTTGGAGAAAACTGATAGAACATATAAACAGCCAGCTGAATCCCCATTTTCACGTGTCATGTAAATGGAACTGGATAAGATTAAGTAATATGACAAAAGATAGGAAAATTCCCAGTCTACCTCATGGTGAACACCAGTAGAGCCAGTCATCAAGAAAAATGAGGAAATCTGCATTTCTGTAAATCTTTAAAAGCTTGATGAAGCTGAAGCTGAGGAAAAACATGTCTTTTCAACACTAGAGGACCTTCTCCCAAAAGTAACAGACACTAAAGTATTTTCCAAATTGGATGCCTCAAGTGGTTTTTGGCAAATAACTCTGACAACCAGAGCACTAAATTGGCAACATTTATTACACCCTTTGGGAGATTCTGTTTTCAGTGCTTGCCATTGCAATCACAAGTGCTTCTGAGATTTTTCAAAGGAAGATGAGAGAACTCCTTAGTGACAGCAGAGACTCATTGTCTTCATGGAAAACATCCTAATACATGGCCCATCAGTAGAAAATCACGACAAAATGCTGGTCATTGTCTTGAATCAGATTTATGAATCCAGAATCTAGCTAAATAAGAAAGAATACTCTTTTTTTTTTTTTGCCAAGGTGAAATAGGATGGGGGCGGGGGGGCAAAGCTATACCCAGAGAAGATAAATGCCATCAAAGAGCAGAAAGCACTTCTAGTATAGAACTGTGATGTGTCCTAGGAATAGCAAACTATTTGTCTGCAAGACGATTTCATAGAGGCACTACGTCTAAACTGGATTCCACCATCACCTAGTTTTGGGAACTAAATCAGGAAGCTGCCTTTACAAACAAATGGTATGAGCTCAGTGTCCAAATCTTGCACTTTAATGATCCCAACAAGTGTCACACTGGTCTCTTCGCTGCAAGCAGATATGAACTAAGTTGTTTAGTTTTAGAATGGATGGCAGTCACATTCCACTCCAGAACTCTTTCCAAAGCAGAAAAACAATGTGCACAAGTTGAAAAAGATGTCCTGTTAACATTTGCTAATGCAAATCCTTTTACAGATTCCTGTGTCATCTGCCTTCTTTCAGACTCCTCAAATGAAGCAAATAAACTCTTGGTTTCCTTCCTTAAAGGAATGGATTGCACCAAGTACCATTATGATGCTAACATCTTAACCATGCTGAAATTTAATCCAGAAGCTGAGCATGTTCTAGGGAAAGTTGGTCATAGCAGGCACATTGTCAATACACAGAGACACTTACAAGTTAGAGGAGGCTGATAAAGCTTGCATTCATGTTGCACATTTTTCATTATAAGCATTCAAAAACAGGTTTCATCAGATCCAAGCAGCTGGAGATGCAGAACTTCAAGTATTTTGTACTTTATCAAATCAGGATGACTAAAACATCCCAGCAACACTTCAGAATTAAGGGAGAAAAAAACCTTACTGACCTCGAATAACTGAGTGAATGGGAAGGCCTACGAACAAAGGGATACTGTATTATTGTGCCACACCCTGTGAGGAAAGAAATCCTAGACCTTTGCCACCAAATACAAATCTAATCACATGCCTTGTAGTTATTTTTAAATGAGACTCTCTTCATACAGGATATATTTTTTACTCAAATTGTCCATGGTCCCACAGAGACTCTCAGCAATCTGCAGCTGCAAGATTAGCTGCTTTAACGGAACTCGGGCTCCCCTCTTTTCACATGTCCACTAAGGAGCCACCTCAAGCAAGAGCTCTGATTCCATGGGAAAGACCCACTGTTCGTGTGGTCACATGTGTGCCCCTTTATTACTGGCACACTACCATGCTAAAGCAGTTCCCAGCATGCTGCAGTATCCGTGTGTCGGGGGGGGGGGGGAATGCACTTCTGGAAATATTTTTTTTAAGGTAGTTAAGCAACAGCTGGATGTGGAGCACTTTGGATTCTACAGCGGTTCTAGGGATGCCGCCAAGCTGTATTGGGCAGGTCTGAGGACAGGGCCAGTGCAAATGCTGCCTGTTCACTTCAAGTGTATAGCTTTACAACAAACAAAACAGGGCAGAGGAGAATGGCTTTGCTCAGGATGAAAGGGGGATTTTTTGAGGGGGATTTTTCTTTCCTACTTCAGAGCTATTTTTTACCCTTCTTTCAAGTTTTGCTAAAATCCTGGGTTCTAGTAAGCTAATTACAGAAAAGTGTGCATAACAAATACTAATAATATTAGTTCAGTCATATGAACCATGCCATGTCTCTGTCGTCTCTTTTTTGATCAGGGCTGTAGTGCAGAGTGTGACTGTAGCTGTGGGAGAGACTATTCTGTTTTCTGACCTTGAAGGAATTCTGTGAATTAACTCATTTCTTTTGGGAGGATGGAGTCTCAGACTGAAATGGGATGGGAGGGAAGATGCTAAAGCAGTACTTTTGCAAGCTGTGTTCTGGAAGACCCTCGGGGTCCTCTGAAATTAAGTGATTCTTTGGGAAGATCATGAGTGGTGGACCATGCTTTCAAAGGGGGTTGGGGGTGTTCCAGACACACGTTCAGTTCATCCAGCTGGACGATCAGGTCTAATAGGGATACCAAGTGCCCTCTGTGAACTGAGTTTGTGCTCTAGAATGTACCCAGAATCCCCTGCCATGCATGGTGGTTCCAAGGTATTATCAACAGAAAGGCTGATGCAGAAACTTTGAACCAGAGATCCTTTTTTAATATATAATAGTGATTAATGGTGCTTCCAGATAAGGCTGTTGGTCTACCACCACTCCACCTCTTTCACAGAAATGTAAAGGGGGTATAGCTGACAATTCTGTCTTCTACTTGTAAACATCTGTGTGTTTCTCTGCAGTTTTTTTTTTTCTGTGTTCCCCCCACAACCCCCCACACCCAAAAATCTACTGAAGGAAGGATGAAATAGTGTACAGTGTCTTTTCATTTGTAGCACTCAGAGCTGTCTGTCTGGAAACTCTTAGTGCATAAGACAAGAATATGGTGTCCCGTCTGCTGCAATATTTAAAAGTCACTGCAGTTGAGTGTGCCAGAGTTGTTAAGTAGTAGACAGCTCAGAAACATCTCACTAGCGAAAATACCTGCCTTATGGTAAAATGTGTGACTCCCACAAACTCACTAGAGGGTACTCATCATTTTAAAAGTGAAATAGGTATACGCCTATTCAGTCATATGCCACTGAAGAGTCTTTACTGGAATGCTGCAAATAGGTGAGGTGGGGTTGATACTTGTAAACTACTTAGAAGATTTGGCAAGTTTGGAAACAAACAAGCAAAGGTGTCTCTCAGTACACAGTTGGCACAAATAGAATCTGCTTAAACCCGTTTTTAGAGGATGCCTCATGTGGTATGGGCCAGGCATTGGACAGAAATGGACGTCCCTGAGGGCTCAGGCTTCCTTCTTCTCCCATCTGGAAGTTCTGGTTCTTTGACATGAGTCTGACACAGTTTTGCCAGTCCCCTTAGAGAACACTAAGTTCGAATGAGATGGTCATGAGCAAAATCTCATAGAATCCAGTTAGTGGCAATAGCTTCTTCTTTGTCATCTTCTTGAGATTTGCTTTTCCAAATGACTTGTATTTTGGGGTTGAAGTGGTAACTCCAGTGCCACTGTCCCATTCTGTTTAACATCCCTCTTCTAGAGAAAAGGGATGTGAGTTCATAAAATGGATGTTGAGGCTTACAAGGGAATACATGAGTATGTTGATTGAGTAGGACTTCTTGGGAAATACACCAAGTGGGAAGCCTGTGTGGGACAGCAGTGTACAGCTCTAGGGCAAAGGAGATAGTGGAAGAGTTGTGATCTTTACTTGGGAGCAAAATAAGGGAAGAGGATCAGACTTACCACAGTGCTGCTTCTGTGCCCAACCAGACTCAAGATTTCTCCTCTCTCTACCAGGCCTGCTGTTGTGTCCCCTGCTCTGGGATGACCAGAGTGGCTTCTGGTTGCTGACAGCTCCAGCATCAAGGCAGCATGGCCCGGCTTATCCATGCCCTCTGGAGTCTCTGCATCACCACCGTCCTTGTCACCTCGGCCACACAAGGTAAGCGGAATTCAAGGGAGGCTGCCCTTGGAAGGGAAGACGGGTGCCTAAATGAGGCAGACCTTGTGCCACATCCATTCATGAGCATACGCCACAGCAAGAGCTGGTGGGTGGAGGTCGGGAAGCAAACTCTGACCTTTCCTGTAAAAATCTCTGTGTGTGTGTGTGTCTGCGTATATATGAACAGGGCAAGGCACAATTTCTGGAATAAAACCTAATTTCCTCCAGAATAAATAATAAAAAGAATTTTTAGAATAGTGTTTAACTGCTTCTGTTGAGCATGTCAAAATATTTTCTAATTAAGTACTGAAAACAGAAGTACTTTATTTAGAAATGTACAGTACTTTACAATTACCATTCCTGTTCTTGCTTCATCTCACACACACACACACACACATATATATATATGGGGGGAGAGAGAGGAAGGGGGGGTGGGGAGAGAGAAGTATGACAGAAAATGAATCTACACCAGGGTAGGCAGCCTGATGTCCTTCAGATGTTTTCCCAACTCTCATAAACTCCAGCCAGCATTACCAATGACCAGATATTGTGGGAATTGTAGACCTAAACAACTGGAAGGCTGCTGGTTACATCTACTCCTTTAGATTAAAAAGCTAAATGCCCATGCTAGCATCAGGACACACTTTTAAAAATTATTTTTATTGTGAAATTTCAGCTCTAAGAAAGTAAAATGTAGAAATACACCATTAGGAGTCACCTATTTATTTATTTATTTGATTTATATCGTGCCTTTTTCCTACAAAGGGCTCAAGGCAGCTTACATCATTCTCCTTCTCCATCTTATCCCCACAACAACAACCCTGTGAGGTAGGTTGGGCTCAGAGTCTGTGACTGGCCCAAAGTCACCCAGTTGGCTCCATGGCTGAGCGGGGACTAGAACCCGGATCGTCTGAGTCCCAGTCCCATGCTCTTAACCACTACACCACACCTAAGCAAGTAACCTGAAGCTGCTCCTGATAGAGCCAGTTTTACCAGTGTATGACTTCATGCGTTTAATGTGGGATGGCTCTTCTGCAGAAATTGTAGGCTACCATGGTATCTCTGTCCCCATCTGTAATGCTTTGGAAGTCTCTGCTTCCATGCTACAGTGCTGCTATTTTTCTCCTCCTCCCACTCCCCCTCCTCTTCCTACTCCTCCTCCTCCTGTAAATAAAAAAGAAACAGAAAGAAAAACATAGAATGACAAAAAGAAAATGTTACCAAGGGACCATGTACAAAAATTACTTATAAAACTAGATGTAGGAAGTTCCACAAAGAATCAGCAATATTCATTACATCTCTAAACTTATAATTGCTACTATGCTTTTTCTGACAGGCATCTTCCACCTTTAACAGGAGAGATAGAAATTCAAAAGGAAATGCTTTTCTTCACATAAAGAGTAACAGAGGAAAGCTTTACCTTTAGAACTTCTGCTATTACCAGATACCACTGCCCTGCCAGACAAAAACATGATTATTCTAGCAGTGCTGTGAAATCATGGAGAAGGCAGAAAAGGAGAGAGGAGTAAACACAGAAGAACCCCAGATCTGTCACTTGATATAATGTCATTTTTCCAGCTCCTCCTCAGTCTGTTCATCTCTTCCATTTTTACACATCTTGAGCCATTGTGCTCTTTGCCTTTCTTTCCTCAGTCATTTCAGATGGATGCTCCAAGAATGCTTCTGATTCAGCTCCACACAAGTAATTTTGCAGCATTGAGGAAAGCTGGGGACAAGGGCTGGGAAAGCAGTCGATCTCTCTGCTATGCTCTTAATTTGGGGCATTTCCCTGGTTCCTCCTGAACCTCAATTTCTCATTTCTTTTCAGCCTCCATTCCTGTAACTTCAGCTTCCTTTTGTAGTGATCTCTTACTTTGCACACCTAATTATCTGTTGCATACAAGGACATTTTAGAAAATTGCAACAATTTCCTATGTGTAGCCTGAGTAGCCATCTTTCCTCATTACTTCTGAAACACCCAGCTACACACACCTTTTCCTAATGCACTTGGTCTGATGGAGTGAATGAATGAGTGACAGTAGAGGCAGAGTAGGGCTTGCTGTAAACACTTGCCTCTTCCTCACAGACCTCCCACCCCTTGGCATGCTAAGTGCCTGACTCATCACTGTCTATGTGAATGGGAAAGAATTCTTCTTGCCATCCTGCCCTCCCTGATCAGATTGTTTAGTAGCAAAAGAGCTTTTTGAAGTGTTGTTATATTGGGGTGTTCTTTCTTTTCCCCCTGCTTTCATCCTACTTTACCTTGTTTTGTAAGGAGTGGCCTAGCTCACTTGCATACTTTCCCTTTAAGCAAAAATTAAAAAACGGAGGCTGTCAACTTTGGGCACATCATAAGAAGGCAAATCTCCCTGGAGAAAACAATCATTCTGTGGAAAGTAGAAGGCAGAAGAAGAGGAAGACCAGGCATGAGACTCCATAAAAGAAGAATTTATAAGAGCTGAACAAGGCTGGCATGGATAGAGCATTTTGCAGAGCTTTCATACCTAGGGTTGCCATAAGCACAACGTGATGGCACATAACAACAGCAAATGTGTTCAGCAAGCGCATGCTTTGCACTGGGTTCCTGTTGCTTACTTTCCATAGTGTGCTGTGCCCAATATGATGAAAGGAGAGAGGCAGGTGGATGGATCGTTTTCTCTAAGGCAGAAGAGGTGGGGCTGGATCATCTTTTATCCTTTCCTGCTTTTTGTTTCAGTGTGTCTTAGACACACAGCATCAACATCTCAAGTGTCTATGGTGGCTTTTTTGTCGGGTTCAACTTGGTCTGTTTGGTTGCCTTGAGCAAGGAATGTTGAATGTATTTGAAGTGCAGAATGGAACAAGCTGTGAACTGGGAGGAAGAAGGGCTTGTGATCAAGGAATGCAACATAGCTAAAGTGGTGTTAAGCTTTGCCCCTTCAGTTTAAAAGCTGGAGGGGGGGGGAGGCGGGGAGATATCCATCATGTTTTTTGAGAATGTGGTTGCACTAGAATAAAAGATGTACCTTAGAATAAGGGACAACTTGAAATCCTAATTGAAATTGAGTACTGTTTCTAACTGGGATATGGGATAACACTATTGCTTTAAATGTTATATAGTGTTAGGAATTTAAGATTCTTGGGAGCAGATGTCCTCGAAATACTCTACTACCTCTAAGATTTTTGGAATGGGGGAGAGCAGAAGAAGATTTCATTTTTAATCGGATCCACACAGCACCATCTGTTTTGCACTCTAATTTTAGATTGAGAGAATTTGACTAGGAAGAGAGTGGGATTGACAGGAAGTCTGAGTCTCCTGCAAGGATGGGAAATCTGTATTCTTGGTTTGAGAGGAGAGGACATCTCCATTCACTCAGGTGTGCTTAGCCTTGAAGGCCTAAAATATTTCAGAAGCCTGTGGTGGATGGAAAGAGATCAAAGCATACTTTTTCCCAAAGGAAAATGCTTTGATTTCGTAAGACACTTGCCTACTAGGCTCTGTCCCAAGGGATACACCATCTGCCAGCTTCCTTCATTTTAGTCTCTCCTGAGGTTTTGGTTGACTGGAGGATGGGCAATTGAATACTGCATATTCAACCCACTAGAGGGTAGCAATATTTAGATACGGGTCCTACACTCAAGTGAGTATTTTCCTGCACTCATAACTTCTGTTGACTAATATACTTATGCACCACTTATCCAGCTGCTTGCACTCAGATGTGCAGAGCCCCAACACATAAAAACCATGCATGCCAGAGAACAGAGTTGGGAAACATGTGGCCTTCCAATGGGGCCTACAGTACCCATTATCCCTCATTATTGGTTGTACTGGCAAGGGTTGATGGCACTTGCAGTCCAACAGCAACTGGAGGCCCACAGGAGCGTGCATGCATGCATGCGTCCCTCCCTCCCTCCCTCCCTCCTTCCCAAGATTTCTATACATTCTAGAACAGAAAAATTCCCCATCCCTGCCATAGATCCATGTGCATACATGAATGAAAAAGATCACACTGGGACCTTATTAATATTTTTTTAAATATTGGAACAGTTACATGCTGAAAAACGGAAAAGAATAATCTTTTGAGAACAAATTCAAGCAGCTACCATGCTAAAAGATGGCAAAGACTGCTCCCTGTTTTTCCAGCTGCTGCAATCTATGTAAAGAGGTCTTCCTGAAGATATTCAAGCTAGTGCTGTGGCAAATGTTTCAGGGTGAAGGAGTTCCTCAGTCCTGTGGGGATGCTCAGGATTGTGTATACTTGGAAAAGAAAAAGGCTGCAAAAATTCAGCACCAAGAAAAACTGGATCCTGTGATGATCTGGATGGATTGTGCACAATTATACTTATTTGCTTACTTTGCATTGTTCTGCTTCTGCTAGTAATGGAGGTAGCTGCCCTACATATATTACCTTATATAAAAGCCCTACATATATTACCTTATATACATTACCATACATACATCACCCTAGCCTTGCAGTAGGGTGCCTTTGTGTATAAGCAAGAAACAAAGAGGTTGATGGGAAAGAGAAGGACCTTGTCTTATCTAAGGTGATTCCCTGTGCTTTGTCAATGTTGCCCTTAGTTCATACTAATTTCTTGGATCTGTACTGTTTGAATTTTTAAGAAATGATTCATGATGGGAGCCCAGACACCTAGATCAAGGATTTGCTTTAGACTGAGTTCCCCTTTTTAATTCTGTGTACATTTAACTCTTCACTCCAGGGCCTGAGGGAAATAGAAGATGCTAAGAGATCAGTACTCCCTGTGACATTTGTGAATAAGTTGGATTTTGGACTTTCTAGCAATTTCTGTGACTCTGCAGTGTAGTTGTAAAGTATGTAAAGTATGGAATACCAGCAGCCCATGGGCATGCTTCTTTACATGCCTGATGTCCAGTCTGCACATTTGATGGTGAACCCCACAAAAGAACTTATATTATTGACCACAGCAGAGAAGTCCCTTGCATACTAAAGTTACAATCTCTCAAGGCCCTTCTAAGATCTGTTGCAGTTCTTAGGATC